TCTTGGCGTTAATAGGGTGTGTTTTACAAGTCCTTACTCATCCCCGCGTTCAATTTCATACACATCTATAATGTGAGTATGGCAATGTTGCAGCAAAGCAGCGATTTTTGGAAGGAGCCTTAAGAAGGCCTTGCTAAAAGTACACGCGCTTTTGAATCTGCTCCGTGTATTTGCTGTAGCCTCCTCCCGTAGGGCTAGAAGCGCGGAGCAGGTGCACTTGGGGTGCCCTTGGTTGGTTGGTTGGTTTTTATTTTAACTGAATAGGTGAAGTATTTAACTTTGAGTGGAATTGAGAGGTCAGGGGAGTTGGGGGGGAGTTATTTGGAACAGGCTGGCTTCCCTCTCCTGGGCATGTAAACTGCTGTTCTTGCTTCCTGATGTGTTTTTTTATTCCCAGAGCTTCAAAGCACTTTTTGATGTCTTCAGTGTCCAAATCTCCTCATCCTCTGTGAAGAGGACAGATTTTTAAGTATCTCTGGGTTTCAAAGTGCTCTTTTGCAACCTCTTTTTAAATACAGTTTATATTAGATGTTTAAATATTTTGGAAACATACTACTTCCTGTATTCTTTTGTGTTTGTTCTAAGACCTTTCCTAGCAAATTACATTGATTTCAGGAAAATGAGTGCGGGTTTTGGGAGAGGGAGAACTGCAGGAAAGGCTTTGGAGGACTGTGGACATCTGGATGACCCATCTTCCCTTAGCGCCCTGACTACACACAGGATTTTTGTTAACGAGGAACCTTGAAGCCGAATGCCATGAATTACATTTTGGCGGTGCAGACGGTCAGTCCCTTTAGCTTTTGGTTAGGCCCCCTGAGCCATACTCAACTTTTTGTCTAGACTGCAATTTAAATTGGTTTGGTCCCCATTTCTTCAGCGTTGCAAGAGCACTCTTAACTTCCCTGTCCAGACGGATAGGCGCACAGTGTTGGGACTGCTGCAGCAGACAGGGTGCTGCACTGGCATCGTCCTGTAGGAGAAGAGGAGCAGGGGGAAAAACGTGTTAGGTCACAGAGATCATAGACGGAAAGATGCTGAATGTAACAAATTACTTTGCCTGGAAGAGATTGAATGCCATGTCCTGAAACCATGGAACCTTATTTTGTAGCTCAAAGAGGTCTTCTTGTATTTATTTTTAAATATGAAGATGAGAAACACTGAATATTAAGGAAGGATGCTAAAGATGGTCCACCTCCAAAGTATTTTTGAGGGTACTAAAGAAAGTGCTGGCATTCCTCAGACTGGACAAGCTACATTCCACCTATTTCATATTAATGAAATCAGGCTAGGTTTTAAAATACTAACTCAGCAGTCCTTAAACCATGCATTAATTTTCTGTACTAGAGTGAATAATAAGTGTCATCACGCGGTATTTTTTCCCAGATAGCAACTAACCTTGATAGTTTTCTGGCTATTTGGTTCCTGTTCTGGTCTACTTTTTTTTTTTTTCCTTTTTGTATAGTCAGTTGTAATATAAATTTTCTGTGCTCCTTCCATTTTTTCTTCTTGTTTCTATCTTTTCCCATACTATACTGTCTTTCTCCTCCACTGTGCTCTCTTTCTTTTAGTGTTTTGATCCTATGCTGCCACACATCTATTTTTGTATTGTTTTGTGCATGCAAATTTGAAAGAAAGAAAGAAAGAGGCTTTAATCACCACTCAGGAATAGCTGTATTCCTCCTCGGGGGCTCAGTGCATGTTTGAAAAGCAAGTCTGCAGTGATGACCTGATTGGAGCCAGCTTCTGCAGGCTCTTTCTAGGAGACCACTTCTGCCTTGTCATGTTGGAAACTCAAGGTGATCCTCTCGTGCTGGCAGGCTGCTCCTGCTTCTCCAACAGTATTTATTGTTCCTCTTCCAGTGTCAAGCGGAGGGCAGGATCTCGCTGGCCGCAGCAGTAACACCATAGCTGTTTATTTTAGTCTGGTGACAGAAAGTGCCTGGTGGTTTTTCTGTTGCTGTAAGAAAAGGGTTTGGGTGTTTCTTTCAATTTGTAACTTGTGAGATAAGTTTGCAGTTAGTTCTCAGCTGATTGCAAAAGGCAACGCTTTTTTGTTCACAACCAACCAAAACATTTCTAGTTTTCTGGTTGTCTTGACATCTTTTTAAATTACTGCTTATGTGCCAGCATATAGTAGTTTACCTAAAGAAACTGTTAATGATATTGGCTTTCTTCAGATATCACAATCAATGCTAGCAGTTTTTGAAGGTATATGGGTTGGTTTGGGGATTCTTGGTTTCTTTAGCTTGCTTTATACATAGACAGGTGAGAAGTCTAAAATCACTGACATGTAAGGAGGCAACATTTTCTCTGTATCTTTCCCTTAGCTCTTCCTTTAGCTGTTGCTTTCCCCACCTTTTTTGTGGCTTAGGTTGCAAAGGGCTCGGAAGATAAAAATAGCTTCCAATACAAGATTAAAATCTCAGGAGTGACATAACATTTAGCACGTGGAACATCACTTAAAATCCTTTGAAATCAGTTTGCATGGTTGCCACTGTTTCCTCTGCGTACACTTGGGCTATACAGACAGATCAGCTGAACTTCATCCACTGCAGATAATTTTTTGTTACAGGCTTTTTCTCTCAAGAAGCATATTCTGGCAGCGGGTATCTCATGAAGGTCCACATCTGTGCATCCATTGCGCTAGTTTGTGTATGTAATGTCACTTTTTGTGATTGATTCTAGTATTGCAGAATGGAAAATTTCACAAGACAGTTGCACTAATACTGTTAAGCTTTTGCTTGGCTTTGCACAAAGACTCTGACTTTTGTTGCCTAATTAAGTCATCTGATATCCACCCCCTATCCTCCTTGTTTTGAAACTTCCTCATTTTGAAAATTGAATGGCCTCTTGTGTTTGACCTTTTGTTCCAGCTATGCAAAGGCTATAACTGCACTGTGGTGAGATCTAGGAAACACATAGCTGCTGGTCCTCTACCTTCATCTTGCATGTAAGGAGAACCAAAATTCGTTCCTTGCTTTTTCCCAGCAGCTGGAAACAATACAAGAAGAGAACACATGATAGCACACAGAAACCAGTCCTGATTTCAAATTCCTGTTTCCAGTTGTAACAAATTATGCCAGTGTTTAAAGCCTGTGACTTTGTGTAAGGCATTGTGTTTTCAAGATTAGTACATTAAAACCAGATAATGTGATGAGCCCAAAGGCAACATGGACATTAGTTAGCATTTTTGTCCCAGATATGTAGCTACTAGAGGCCTTGTGTCAGTCTTTACTGAAGCCAGAATGCATTATAAGGACACGTTAGGAATGTCATTAGTACAGCCAAATAAATATTGGAAATCAAGGAGGGGGGGGGGGAGTGGTGGAATGATACCTGCAAATTCTTATTTCTGTTCTGTCTCCCAGACACTTGTGCCTTGGGAGTTTTTCTGTGGACTCCTGGAATAGCATGTGTACCTTTCCTTCTTCCTAGTGGGACATACCGTGCTCTTAGTTGGTTACTGATCTGTTCCAATAGCTTGGGGACCAAATCTGGTCTGCTCTGGCTGGCTTGAAGCACAAGCGCAGCTAGTAGGCATTTGCTTGTATTTCACTGGGTAAAACGTAGTTATGATTGTGGCATGTATATGCATATGTTTACGTACGTATGTGCATGCTTTATGTGATTGATGGGAAAACACCCTTGCATTCACTTTGAGAATGCTTAAATATAGTCCTCAAACTTTCATTTGTAAGTAGCTGTGCTTACAGGAATGAAGGTAACTAGTTTGTAGTTACATTCCTGAAATGTGCCGCTCATAATATTTAGCAGCGGTTCAGCAGAACTT